ATTCGACTTTTTAAAAATTTCTTCATAATTCTATCATTTGTTTCTCAGTATTAGTCATCGTCATCGTTACACGAACCGAGATGAGACAATGTCAATTCATTTCAATGAATAGGTTGAACAAAGCATTAAAATGAATAGTCAGCGATGAACTGACGATGCTAAATAAACTACAATGAATGATATACACTAGCTTTTATTGTATTCAATGCATTACTGACTGTTCAAAGATTAATTAGAATGCAATGACTTGATTGATCGTCAGCCTATGTAAGTGATCGGCATGCGACGTGCAACAGGTTCAGTAGTGTATTGCATTATTTCATTATCTATCGCAAAAAGATGATCAAAACAGAATGGATGTTTAAATGATCAAATATTTGATCATATTTAGAATATTGAAATCGATGAAATATGTTAACCATTCCATCCAATAGGACCGTTTCGAATAGTCTTGGAGCATTTATGGGGAGAAGAAATCTACCTGCAGTATTGCCGAAATCGCGCAAGAAAATGATTCAGAATTATTCGAGACGATAATTCCAAGCTCTGAAACCGAGTAGAAAACTCGTAGAAGATTTCTGTTTCTGACAGAGAACCTCCGAAAATCGATAGAAAACCGAAGCAGTACATCAAGTAGAGAGAACGAAGGACTTTTTCGATGACTTTTGACCATCTTTGGGCGACAAAGACAGGATTTTAATGGAAAGACAGAAAAAAACCTGAGATCTCCAAACCTCAAATACTGCTTCCAAGAAATTGTCACAATTTCCTGAAGCTGACGGTTTCCTTTCCGTATGGTCCGACGTGGATGTTTTAACACTATGATACGAGTGAAATGTGTGTCTGAATTTCTTCTCGTTCTTGATATTAAGAATGTACTTCTAAAAATTCGATTTTGAATCGATACTCGGCGGCTCGACTCGACTCGGCTCGGATCGAGTCGAGTCGAGCCGAGTCCGATGTTTTTTAGATGCATGTCGAGTCGAGCCGAGTCGATTGAATGATTCAGTCGAGTCGAGTCGAGTCGAGTCGAGTTCAGTTTTTTTGACTCGTTTCGGTCTCTGATAGCAATTAATATGTTACTGAAATCGGTCCTGATTATTCGGTAGTTATAAGAAAACCTTGATAATTTGTACCCGTGCTCTCTATGATTCGGACAGACATCGGAGCTATTTGTTGTACATAGGTAGCTATTGGAATGCCTTGAAAATTTGCGAAGACAAGCAGATTATGAACACCTCGACAATATTCTGCATAATTCTAAACGGTCGAAGTGAGGGTATGGGTGTGTGGGTGTCGGTGTCGGTGTGGGTGTGGGTGGATGTGGGTGTGGGTGTGGGGTGTGGGTGGGGGGTATGGATGTGGATGTGGTGTGGGTGAGGGTGTGAGCATGGTGTGGATGAGGGTGTGTGCATGGATCTTTTATTCAAACACACCCACACCTATACCCACACTCACACCCGCACCCACAGCCACACCCCGCAGCCACACCCAACTTTGCGTAGATCGAAAGCGAACAATTTTTCCCATCGAATGGTCATATTAGAATCTAAAATTCAATGAGAAATAGTTTCCCTAGATAGTTTTCAAAATGTCCGATGAGCGTTCAGACATTTGGTCGATTATTGACCAATCAAATTTGGCAGAGTTTTATTTCCCCCACATTTCTCTTTCGAATGGTGAAAACCACGGGTTTCTAGCTGCTTCATTTTCGAGATATTTAAAAAATATCGAGGTTCATTATATTTTGGCGTCGATAGTACGTAGAATTGTGTAAGTGTAATGAATCAGCCTTGTCCTTAATAAACTTTCCCTGTTCCTATCAGGAGGAAAAATAGAAAACTTCGCCGATTCTAGGGAACTACTGTAACTACTCATGAATCCCAATAAAGTTTTGAATAGCACTAGTTATGCAATCACTATCTGGCTTTTGCATCTGGAATTAATGAAATACACAGCATATTCATGTGTTTTTTTTCAACGAAAATGTATGTAAAACTTACTGGGAACAGTTTTGGTGGGTGGTTTTGGTTGTACATAACTTGCAGCTGCAGCTGAGACTGACAATGATGATGATGATGCCAATGACGCTGCGGCTGCAGTAGCTGGTGTTTCTGCTGGGTCATTATTGTCGATTTCCACTAAATGGATAAGGTGTAATTTGCCATGTTTCATTGCATTGCTCTTTACACGTAATTTCGTTCCCATTTTCAACAAAACTTCTTTTTCATCAGGGTAATTAGTGTATCCAGTCAAATCTTTTCCATTTGCAGCTTCGATCATGAACAGTGTGGAGTTACCGTCGGTGCTTAAAAAATCTTCGACGACTTTCACTAATGATGAACAAGAATTAATACTCCACCATGTTTTTACGGCACCCATAACGTAATCTTTGCTAACGTCCTGAGATACTCCACGCCAAATGCATCCTTTTACTGTAGGTAGTTTTTCCAGGGCTTCGTCGAACAATTTCAGAAAGGAGAACCACGGTGTTAATTTTCTTCGCTCTTCTTCTCGCAGTGCTCGGTTCAAGACAGCATAAAAACTGTATTCACCTGCTTCAAGTGTGTATAAGAATAGAGCAGCCGCTTCATCCTTAGTAAGACCATGTTCTGATGGAAAATGACAATGATCATAAGCTTCTTTGATATCCCGATCCAATCCTTGAATTTTCGACAAAACAGGAGCTAATGCGTCTTTTAAGGAGACTAGTGGATACTTCCAATAGCCACCGATTGGTCCAGATTGTTTTTCCGAGTAACAATCAGTAAATCTATTAGTCATATGTGCTTCGGTATTATATTCTACAAGATACTACAGAAGTGAAAAAAATTTTCAAAAAGTTGAAGAGTATGTTGAGGAGGTAGATTGTAAATCAGAGTGTATATCATGTGAAAAAACAGCGGCAAATTTTAAACGAATTGAGATACTTATAGATGCACTTCGATACAAAATTATAAAAGCCTTGACAAGCATACGCCCTACAAAAGAAATTTCTTGATGAAATCTAAAAAAAACTTCTTCTCGCACACAGACCGAAAATACCTGTTTTAGTTTCGAATGAAGCCTATCTTGTACTACTGCAATACGAGTGATAGCAAGACCTTCAGGCAAAATCTTGTTGCTAAAGTTCAAAACAAGTTGTCATACAAGGGTTATGGTTGTGAGTATGGGTGGGTGTGAGTGTAGGCATGTTACTTCTCTTAAGTTATCATGGGCACCCACCTTGCATTTGGGCGTGCTGTTTTAAAGGAAAAAAAGCTGTTGACTACACGGAAGCTGCTTGCAGAATTTTTCAATGCCCAAACACAAAACGAATACAGCGAAATCGAAACCTTTCTCCCCTTCACTTGAAAAAAACCATGACTTTCAATTAATAGATCACATATGTTTTTGGAAAAAAAGTGGTCGCAAAAGAAAAAATAATTTCATTTATGAAAGATCAGACCACAGACTAATTTCCTGTGTATTCATGAGAATTGTCATGTTGTAACGCAAATTCACTTTCTTGTAGGAAGTAGGAGCAGTCAGGCGTGAGCTTGATGGACAATGATCTCAGCTTGAATAGGAATATACGTGCACGAAGAGTGAACGATATATTGAAAAAAAATAAGTACACTACGAAATTTAAAAGGGTTCTGAGATCTGCAACGAATTCGAAACCGTTTTGCGATGTCGTACGGAATCTTCGAAGTTCTGTAAAGTCTCACGAAATCCTTGAAGATTTCGTAAATTTTGAAAAAGATTTCGCGAAACTTCACAGAACTTCGAAGATTCCGTACGACATCGCAAAACGGTTTCGAATTCGTTACAGATCTTAGAACCCTTTTAGATCTTGTACGATACCTATTTAATTTTAGTGTAGGTATTTATTTATATTTTTTTTCATTTCTACTTGTTGCAACATATCTCTTTAAAAGAGAACGGGATCTACTTGCATTGAAATATATGTCCAAGAACAGTACTTGATACAAGGGGAAAAAAGTGCGACTCCAGTATGTGGAGTACCATTGAAGTACCATTGGAGTACCAATAGAGTACCAATGGAGTACCTGACTCCATGGCACTCCACAGTACTCCATTGGTACTCCAATGGTTCTCCAATGGTACTCCAATGGTACTTCAATGGTACTTCACATACTGGAGTCGCGCTTTTTCCCCCCTTGGCTTGATAGATATACGTTTATATATTTTTTTCTTTTGTTTCTTCTTGATATTCATGACTTTATGTCGGGCGGACTATATCTACATAAGCCGGAACTATTTTCACATCTGTTGGTCCCACTGTGTCCTGCTGACCGAAGATAATCTTGTTCTGAGTAGATATCTGTTTGGGGAACCTCTGTTAAGAAACTCTTACCAAGAAGGTTTTTGTCGGTACCAATGATGTTGGTGACTGTCGTCGATTGAAATTATTTTCTTGCCTCGTTTTTAATGAACGATAAAATTATGTGAGCAAGTCTTGCACTATTTTCTGTCTCTCGATTCTAATCTTTTATGTGGTTGTTTGTAAAAAGAGAAAAAGTATGTAAATTGTTCTTTGAAAATAATACTGAATGTTCAAAACAAGAAAGAATAGTCTCTTTCTTCAACTGAAGTCGTTGGCGCCTTATAAAAGATGAGGGTCGCCTTTTTTCTCAGATGGAGATTTGCTTATAATTGCCGTTTGTTCTGTCAATCTTGTTGGAAAAAATCCAGTCTCAATTTTTTCCAACGATTTTTGCGTTAGAGAGAAAACAAGTTTTTCCTAAATTCGTCCTGACGGTATGAGAGGAAACAAAGATCTAGTGTCTTTCGTTTCTGAAAATCTTTCTCTGGCATAAACAACAAGTTGCTTTCTCTATCCCCGTTTTTCCAGACTAAGTAAAGCGTTGCTCGATCTATTAAAAACCCAGAAATCTTGGCAGATGCTCCTAAAATAAAAATGCATGGGTGGGTGTGGATGTGTGGGGGCTGAAGAAAGCAAAGAGTCACCCGCTGTCACAGTCATATCTTATACCCACACTTTCCTACAGTAGCTCTATTTATGACTTCCCAAATAGTATCTCTAATCTTAACAATTCTTCTAATAACATTCTCATCAAAGCATACTAAAGATAGCCAACTATACCGAATAAATTTCAGTTGTGGTATTTAGCAACTTCGTAAAGTTTTGTGTGAGGAGCGTATATTCTTTCTTGGATGATTCGTTTGTTATTTCTGCACCATGTCAACATTTTACGGGACTTCTGCCTGTTGTTACTTTCTTTTTTTCATTTTTCTTTTCTTTAAACTTTTTTCAAGTACACACTCAACTGGGTGTGGGTGTGTGTGGGGTGTGGGTGTGTGGGTGTGAGTGTGGGCGTGCGTATGCGTGTGAGTGTTTGTGAGATGTGTACGAGTCAACGTTGGTAAGTAGAAGAGTAATAGCTATACCCACACCCATAAGACTCATTTTGATCTTTGTATTTCACTGATTAATCCACCAAAAGTCTTAATATTTCGGGAGTAATTCTTGATTTCTTTAGTTCCATTTTGAAAGTGCAATTTTCAATTTCACTAAGAAGGGATGTATGAGAGGATGTGGGTGTTAGGGGTACTCAAGCTCAGCTCAAGCACACAACTAATGAGTCGTTGAAAACGCTCACTGAGGCGAACTGAACTGTTCGAACAGTTCATTTGAGCGAACTGACCTTTCTCATACAGCTCCTCTCACATGAGCTGAACTGTTCGAACAGGTCACTCGAACGAACCGACCTTTTCGAACCGCTCATTTCAAATGAGCTGAACTGTCAAAACAGCTCATTTGAGCGAACCGAACTTTTGAAACAGCTCATTTCATATGAGCTGAACTGTTAGAACAGCTCATTTGAACGAACCGAACTATTTGTAGGGGTACCCATAGGTCCTCAAGGGCTACCCTATAGGGCTACTCTATAGGGGTACCCATAGATCCTCAAGTCCTATACTATGTGGGTACCCTTAGGTCCTCAAGTCCTATTTTTGAAAAAATTTTTTTTTCGAAATTTTTTTTTTATGCAGAAACAGACTTTTTGAGAAAAAATAAATTTTTTTTGGAACACCCAAAATTTTGTTTGAAAAAAATTTTTTTTCTTAAAAAGTCAGTTTCTGCATAAAAAATCTTTTTCAAAAAAAAGGACTTGAGGACCTAGGGGTACCTTTATAGCGTAGCCCTTGAGGACCTATGGGTACTCCTTTAGGGTAGCCCTTGAGGGCCTATGGGTACTCCTATAGGATAGCCCTTGCGGACATATGGGCACCCCACAAAAAGTTAAGCTCATATGGAATGAGCTGTTTGAAAAGTTCGGTTCGTTCAAATGAGCTGTTCGAACAGTTCTTTCGCTCATTTGAACGGAGTTCGTGAGCTGAGCTTGCGTACCCCTAGTGGGTGTGAGTGTGGGTAACAGTGATGGGTGTGGGTGTGGGTGTGGGTGTGGGTGTGGGTGTGGGTGTGGGTGGTGTGGGTGTGAGTGTGGG